TCTCTCTCTCTCTCTCTCTCTCTCTCTCCCTCTCTCTCTCTCTCTCTCTCTCTCTCTCTCTCTCTCTCTCTCTCTCTCTCTCTCTCTCTCTCTCTCTCTCTCTCTCTCTCTCTCTCTCTCTCTCTCTCTCTCTCTCTCTCTCTCTCTCTAACACACACACACACACACGCACACCCATATTCCCACACTGACATGCTATACGCATACACGTCTATTTCACCACCGTTAGGTCATTGTGACCTCTAGGTCTACAAAGAATATTGCCACTGAATCCACAGAGGGGCAATTTAAGTTAAGTTTGTTAAAGACATTTCCATTGCCCGTGGATGATTTCAAAAAGGCATTAATTTAGTGTAGTGTTGTATTTTTGTATGTCTGTCGAGTTCTATATTCAATTTATTCTTAATCTATTTTATTTCAGAGAAATACATTTTCTTCTCAAACGCCTCTGTAACAGGAATTGCCTGTTCAGAATTTGACGTGTGATTTCAGAATCTCCATACTTGCGTTAAAACAAAAACTAAAAACCCATTTGTAAACGTTTTCTCAGTGTACTCTAATGTCGAACATTGTGACAATCAGTATAGATGTACAGTACAAACCAATCGAGCATCTCACGTCAAGGTCTCTCTCGTAAACAACACTTTCTAGACCTTCTACAGCTGATAATGGTCATTCCTGTAGGTTTTACAGCTGCAATCCATTTCAAAATGTGATTTAATAAGACCCTCTTTTGATCGTGCACTGAAGTCAAGTATTTGCGAACCATATCGCGACAATACGTTTCAAGGGAGTATTGATAACATGGGGGTGATGAAGCCCCGTTCAAGTACTCCTCCAGAGACAAAGGCAATAACCTTTATCAAATATTTGTGCCAGTTGATAGCAATAGGCAATATGTCCTTCCATTAAATTCACAGTCTGCCCCTCAAACCTTTGAGGCAAAGGAATTTGAATCCAATGTGCAGATGTTTGTCGATTTCTGAAAGGTAACGGCCAAACACCTACCCCAGCCGTTACAAAGTTTACACGTTAGACCATTCCCTCTAATTGCCGTTATCTCAGTTTACTAGCATCACTGGGCATTTCCCACAATGAAATTGACAAATGAGGACGTGAAACTTACACCGGTCAATCTCTCCCTCCTCCATAATGGCTCCAGTTGATAAACACAAAGGAATAAGGTTGATAAGCTTTGATACGCCATGGTGATTACGTCATCCTTCAATGACGTCACCCTAATGACATCATACATCAATTGTGTGACAGGCATCCGTTTGAAAGGTTATCACAACGAAGGTGGTGTTGTTGACAAAGAAACATACATCACTGTCCACCACGTGAGTCTGTCATGTACATATCGCCATCAAGGGAGTTGTAAAATACAATTATAATCAAGACATCGACATTCGCCTTGATGTGATGTGCGGTGATAGCGCTATTTGTTACAGTTATGAACATTCACGGACAGTCTATTAAATAGAAATTATAATTAACATGGAGATCAATCGAACGTCGAGCATATGAGACTTTCTAATGACACGTTAGTGTGTCATACAGACCCTGAAACAATTATATCCAAGAAAGCATATGTATGTATAGAATATGTGGCAAGTCTTGATTACCAGTTTCATTCTGAAAATGATGAACGTCTAGAATATGTGGCAAGTCTAGATTACCAGTTTCATTCTGAAAATGATGAACGTCGAGAATATGTGGCAAGTCTAGATTACCAGTTTCATTCTGAAAATGATGAACGTCGTCGAGAATATGTGGCAAGTCTAGATTACCAGTTTCATTCTGAAAATGATGAACGTCGAGAATATGTGGCAAGTCTAGATTACCAGTTTCATTCTGAAAATGATGAACGTCGAGAATATGTGGCAAGAACGTCTAGATTACCAGTCTTCCATTCTTCTGAAAATGATGAACGTCTAGAATATGTGGCAAGTCTAGATTACCAGTTTCATTCTGAAAATGATGAACGTCGAGAATATGTGGCAAGTCTAGATTACCAGTTTCATTCTGAAAATGATGAACGTCTAGAATATGTGGCAAGTCTAGATTACCAGTTTCATTCTGAAAATGATGATCGTCGAGAATATGTGGCAAGTCTAGATTACCAGTTTCATTCTGAAAATGATGAACGTCGAGAATATGTGGCAAGTCTAGATTACCAGTTTCATTCTGAAAATAATGAACGTCGAGAATATGTGGCAAGTCTAGATTACCAGTTTCATTCTGAAAATGATGAACGTCTAGAATATGTGGCAAGTCTAGATTACAAGTTTCATTCTGAAAATGATGAACGCCACTGGGCTCCTTTTCATTCTATTTTATGATTATAATTTAGGAATAGTTTGGGCTTTTTCATATGTTCATCATAAAGACAGGATGTTTGTCTAATGACACGTATGTGAAGACGAATTTCATAATCTGTTTGTAAATGCCAAACCAACAAAACACAAGAAGTTAAACTGTTGTTTGCTTGCCTAGCATGTGAACATATTATATTGTTTTATACGTAAAACAAATCGCCATCTAAAATAACATTTACTTAACTGGCAGCCCTCTGTTACAAATACTACCTGAATATGCGTCTGTTGTAAATATGAAATCAATGTTACATTAATATACACGTAATAAATATTTACAAAAATTCATTGTAATATCTACATATGCCACGTACACAGGACACTGACTAATGCGGACACCCATCAATACTGGTCCCATATTACGCTGATTCACCATCAAGTCAAACGAGGCAAACCGAAATTGTTCATTGCGGACTTTACACACAAAAAGGCACTGATGTATAAAGTAACTGACGTTTGTGACCTTTTGCTCATCTTGCATAACATATTGAATACTAGTATTAGAATAGGCTATTTGTAGTCATGCATTGCGCGTAGTGGGATAATCTGAGTAATAACGTACATGGTGATGATGTTATAAGACATGCTACTACGCACTTGCCAAGCTGCACATTCATAACTAATAAATGATGACATTTAGAATCATAAGCAGTACAAGCATTATTGCTGTACAGAAACACAGAACGGGAACAGCTTCAAACATAAAACCGATTTTCTTAGATAATTATTGCTATTTGCCAGGAAACTACAGCATTAACTATTTATTCGGGAAATTAAGCAAACGGAAATAAGTTTTATAACCAATTTTGCAATATCTGTGGTGCCATCCTCACGACACAAACCTATTTCCTTAGTACATATGTACGAAAGTCGTTATTGACAAACCCTCAGAATATACATATACAGGGTAGACTTAAGCTTGGTTATGTGACAAAAATGTGCCGCAATGCGGATGTTAGACTAAGATTTATTTTCTGAAATGAACATATTTCACAGAAATTAAACTGTCCATAAAAAATAATAATAATATATAATGAAAAGCAGCCCCGACACTTCTTCTTTTTCTGTGGAAACCTAGACTTGCCACATATTCTAGACTTGCATGGGCTTTCCTGGATATATTTGTTTCAGGGTCTGTATGACAGACGAATGTAGGTCGGGCTGTGTACGTCTGGGAAATAATCTGTAAGTTTCCATTCAATCCTAATACCAGACAAAAGCTGGTTCCGTTTCCAAACAGAGCAACATGGATGTGAGGTGGCCTTGCGCATCAGCTGTTTAGACAAGGAAGACTTCTACTACACTGTCTGGTGCGACGGTGCCACGATGGTGTTTTAGCAAATGTCTGTTTATAAAGATTCATTTACATTGCGTATGGCATTTATCTGTTACGTAGCTGTGTTCCCGATTCAGTAGTCCTGTATACGAGTGTGGATGAACCTTTGAAGGTCCGGGATATATCTCACATGCTTGTCGTAAGATGCGACTAACGGGATCGGCGGTCTCCGACTTGGTTGATGCATGTCGTGGTGTCCTTATTGCATGGATCGATCGTCATCATGTCAGTGACCGGATTATCTGATCAAGACTCGATTATTTACAAATTCCCGGCAAATAGCTGTAATATTGCTGTGTGCGGCGCTAAACAACAGACCAACTAAGCTTGCGGATTTTAACATCACTTTTACCATCAAATGTATCACCTGCTCTGCTGTAGCATACACAAGCCTTACTGCAACTGCATCTTTTTCAAAGGTTAAAGTTCGCCTCCTCTTTACAAAACTAACACAATTAGCGAATATATCTCGAAGATGATCTGTTATGTAAATATTGGAATTAAAACTTCACGGTATGTTCTTAAAATAAAAATACCCCCATAAATATTTATTTGTGTTCCACGTTGGCCCAGGACAATCAGTTAAAGTAATAACAGTCCTTCTCCAAAATTAAGTGTATAATATCTACACTCTGTCAGGACAAATACCATAGACATTGGCATGTGTAACTTCATTTTAAGCAAGATAAATAGAAGAAGCTACCAAATCTAAATACTTTCATGAATGCCAGAAAATCTTTTGAGAATTTTGCTTTTAGCCAATATTTCTTATGGATGTGGAAAGTTTTTTCCCGCTTCTATTTATAAGAGGGCTTGGGCATTATATCTAAACAAAGCTACGCACCCAAGGCATTTATACAAGTAGAAGTAAAATAAAATAGTAAGGATAATCGAGGATGGTAAACAACGGGTTTGGTCTAACTGTACTTCATCATTCAAATGTAGGCGCCTTGTCTACTTCCCAGGGAGTAGAGAATGAAAACAGACTGGACCCTGATTCATTAACTGGGTAATAATGATAACAAAAATAAAAAACATTTTTGACATCCTTTGCATGTTGAGTTGTTGATTCTACAAGGGAACTACTATATTGTCTGATTCAACAATATGGTCATGATGCAGTAGCCTACATTACTCCCACCAACAACCCCTTCCCAAACACACACCAATGTAGTTCAACTCAGTTGTAACAACTGACAAGATGTAAACTTCAATATATATTTTTAAAAACTGATTTATGTCGTGACTGTATCAAAGAATCCACATAAAATAAAACAAAATCTCAAATCTGTTTATAATAATTTAGCATTTATTTGGAAAATAGTAAAAAATATATATTTACACAATGTACAAAACATACATTTTTGCAATGTAATCAAACACAATACACATAGCAACTAACAATGTGGCCTGACAAACAAGTCAAAGACGTCAACATGTTTTTCAAGTCAAAGGTGTCCATTTCAGAAAACATTCATCTGATCGTTGTATAAAAAGCGCATACTTCTAATAATTATATACCATAAGAACAGAGCAAACAGCAGATTCGGAGTTAGATTTGTCATTATAATAATAAGCCAACTTTAAGTTTAACAAAAATATGAAAAACACATTGAGAGTTAGGATAAAACAATTCATATAAAATAACTTGAAATTTTCTTTTAATATCATGTGATTTGACGAGACCTTCTTTGTGTCAAATTCAGACACTTATAACAAGAGGCATATGCCGAATGGTGTATTTTACTTAAGCATTCATTTTAAACGACAATTTCTTTTGTGACAGACTGCCCATTGCTATTCTTCTAACCATTTACCTGAGGCACTTAATTATGACTCGATCATGTCTATGACACATAGTCTAATATGTCTATCAAAGGGCAAACATTTCCTGGGTCAGAGGAATAACATGAAATGAACATCAGACACTGAGTGACATTGACAAGAATATGACAGCAATGAAACATGGATATGGGACTGGCAAATAAACAGGCAAATGATTCATGTCAGGATAGTCATGAAATGTGTCTTATTTAGAATAGATTTCTTTATTTTTGTCTATTTTGTTCTACTTTTATCATAATGGACAAGTTTCATAGGAAAGTGGAATGGAATTATGTTGATAATCAATCGGAATCTTGACAGTAAAGCTTTGAAAATGACTAGATGTTCATCATGAATTTGTACTGTTGTTTTATGTTTTGGAATGAATTTAACACAAAACTTGACATGAAACAGACAAACACTATAAGGCTAAAAAATTCTTAGTTTTCAAGCACATAAAAATAGCGCATTTGAAGATATTTTATTCCTTTTTTTAAGAAAAGCATAAAAATACATTTTGCTCAAAAGTTGCCTAAGAACCAAAAATTGTTTTTTTATCCTTCAGACTAAAAATGTTTTGATTGACATAAAATCAATGTCTATTTCATGCTGGAAGTTTTGATTGACGTACAGACATCACACATAAGTAGCACCATTTTTGCATAATTTGACATAATTTTGCGTTGATTTAATCATAAAGCATGACAAATTCTCTATGAAGTCTTCGTGAGATTTGATCTCTGTGTTCCATAAAATGTTCGAGAAAGCTCATGTCTTTGAAATCAGTTCATTTAACACTTCAACATAACAACAATAACAAGTCTTAACATTGACATGAAGCTGCCGCATGTCACGTTCATGCATGTCTCTATCACACACGTGTATGGCAAACACCACAATGGGAACACAGACTTTCAATACTGGAAAGGATGTCCGAATACTGATATGCCGCAAAAATGTCAAGTGCAAGAAAGTTCTCACAAGGCTGAGACAACGTATTTCAAATAAAATGAAAACGAACATATCTCAAGCAAAGACACATTTCTCACGCTGCATGTCGAAAAGTACTGCTCCCATGTTTCACACAATAATATCCTTGTTGATGTTTTGTTTGAAAAACAATCGATCAATTTCATCACAAAGTTCTTCTGGATCGACAGTATAGCTGCCGGAGGTTGTCGTGTCATTATCCCATGCGGAAGTGTTCATTTCACTCACAGAGTCATCAACATGATGCATGCGTGACATCTTATGTCCATTCATGTCCATATACTCTCCTTCAATCATGGGATGTTTTAAATGCACATATGCCCCAGAATCCTGTGGTCCTTTGTGTCTTCCTCCATTCTGAGATAGCTGTCCATAAGAAGCACTATAATTACCTCGGGGAGGTACACCATGATTTGTATGGGAATTGTTTTTCATTCTCGGAGGTATCGAGAGTCTTTGGGTAGCAGGTGCAGAGTTATTTGTCCTTGCCCGGTAGGGGACAGCACCATTGTGAAGATGATTATCAGGAATCTGTTTGGACTGAACAGAACCGGACAGTGAGGAATTGTCGTAGCTTGTGCCTTGTGCATCACTTCCATAGAATGTGGAGAAACTTGCTGCTGGTGAAGCTGATTGGTGGTCAACAAGATTCTTTGGATGACGAGGATGGCCAGAAAAAGACATATCTGCAATCATAAATCATGAAAACATTACAATACTTACAATAATAGATATAGTAAAAAATGATCATAGAAAAGACGGTACTAAAAATATCAAAGTTAAAAATATTTCAACATTTCAATTATTTTTGTGTGATACCTGAAAGTGTTTTTTTCTTACCTGATTCCAAAACATTCGAGGATCCTCCGTGACTCTGTAATTCAATGTCGCTGCCTCCTCTCCCACTGTCACTGATACTGACATCACCAGACAGATCGCTGCCACTGTCGTCATGGAAACGGATATGTGTATGGTTCTTCTCACTGTCATCCTTGAAAGTGGAAAACTTCTGCTGTTTTGACAAGTGATGTTTCTTGTTCTGTAACAATGAACATACAATTGTTAATATGGAAATACCATCCAAAAACAATGAAAGAATTATCAATGAATAGTTATTAAGACAGTATATCATGTTTAATGTTTGGGTGTCTATCAAAGCAAGAATATTACTTCAATAACAGTTTCCACACTTACATCATTCTCTGTGTCTTCTGGGATAGTGAAGAGGCATTCGTTGTTGCGAGCGTTGAACCCAACAGATCCAGATGACAGGGAAACATTGTTTTCTTCATCCAGTGAGAAGCTGACCTCCTTCTCCTTCTTCTCTCCATCCTTCTCAGCTAGAGGAGTTGTGGAGTTTTTTGATGAGGAGGAGATACTACTTCCCTGTCTCCTCATGCTTGAGATGACCTTTTCTTCCTCTGCCTTAGCACGATACAGCCTCTTCTTCTTATCTGAGCTTCGGAGAAGGCAAATGGTTGCCACGACGATGACTGCAAGAAGGATGGTGACACCAACCAGAACCATGGCAGTGATGATGTTGATGGAGCCTTGGTTGGAGGTGGTTAAAGTTGCATTTCCTAAAATAACCTCGATGAAGAGCTCCGACTGAGTGGACCTCTGGGGAGAGCCATGGTCCTGAGCAACCACCATCAGGCTGTACACAGTGGTGATATGTTTGGACTCAAGTTGTTTCCTCAGGCGAACAATGCCCGTTTTGTGGTCAATGATAAACACAGCACTCCCATTGCCACCTTCAATGAAGTAGGAAACTTCAGCATTACGTTCCACATCCATATCAACAGCAGTAATTTCAATGACAGGGGACTCAATTCGCTGGGTGTGTGGCATCGTCACGGTGTTGTTAGCCTGGGTTGGGAAGATGATGACTGGGGTGTGGTCATTGATGTCATCCAAGGTCACCACTACTCTGGCTGTACTGCTCAGTGGTGGTTGCCCAAGGTCAGTTGCAACCACAACAAATTCATAATGATCTCTCGTCTCCCTGTCCAGGATACGGTTTGTCTTGATTACACCATCAGCATAGACGATGAAGGGAAAGTTGCTTCTTGTAGAACTATGGAGCTGGTACATGATGATTGCATTTTCATCCAAATCAGAGTCTGATGCAGTGATCTGCCCAACGCTGGTGTAACTTTTTGATTCTTCAGGCACAGAGAGTTGGAATTTATTCATGTCAAAGACTGGGGCTTGATCATTGACATCATCAATGGTGATGATCACTGTGGTGGTAGCAGTCATGGCAGGGTTGCCTTGGTCAACAGCTAGAATCTTGGCTACCACTTCAGGGTATTCTTCTCGGTCAAACTCCATCGCTGTCACCAGAGTTCCATTCCTGAAGATGTTGAACCTGTGGCCATGATCATCCTGAACTTTGTAAATGAGTTCAGCATTTGTACCATTATCGGCATCTGTAGCAGTGAATGTCATGATAGAAGTTCCAATTTTCTTGTTCTCAACAATATTTGCATAGTAAACATCTTCTGGAAATTCAGGTGCATTGTCATTTTCATCAATTACTCTTACTAGGAAGTTTTCCTGGACGGAGAGGGCAGGGGAGCCTCCATCATGGCAGATAACAGACACATTGTGAAAGGGCACAGTTTCACGATCAAGAGCATTCACAAGGATGACTTTGAACTCATTCTTGTCAAGGCCACGGAGCTCAAAGGAGGAGTTTGGCATAGAGCACTGAACATTTCCATTAGAACCTGAGTCTGGATCTTCCACAGCAATATGTGCAACAACACGACCAATTTCAGAAAATTCAGATATCTCTGCAATGCCACTGTCATGAAACACATTGATGTACATCTCTGGAGCATCATTGTGAGTGTCAATAATAGTGATGATTACTACAGCTTGGGCAGTCTTGGATGGAACTCCATGGTCATGAGCTTCCACAATAACCTGGTGCATCTTTCCTGCTTCATATTCCAAGGATCCTGCTGTTCGAAGTTCTCCAGTGACGTGATCAAGCTTGAAGAGGTTGAGGACACTCTCAGGTTGTCGAGGCATGAAGTGGTAACTGATGTTGGCATTGTTTCCAAGATCTTTGTCAGAGGCTAACAGACGAATGATGACACTGCCAGCTGCAGTTGTCTCAGAAATGTTCAAGGTGTATTTTACATTGTCAAACACAGGTGGGTTGTCATTTACATCTGCGACGTTGATGTGAAGGGTAAGGGTTCCAGTTCTCTGAGGAGATCCACCATCACGAGCAAACACAAAGAGTTCGTAAAAACCTGTTGTTTCCCTGTCAAGTTTCTGTACAAGCTCCAATGAAATAGACATGATTCCTGTTACTCCAGCAGTAGTGATGAGAATAAAAGGTGTGTCCTTTGGTTGAAGATCATAGCTCTTCACAGAGTTATTAATACCTGTATCTCTGTCCACTGCGCTGACCAATGGGAAGTTGGAACCAGAATTGGCTCCTTCAGAAATCTGCAGAACATAAGTTGACATTGTAAACTCAGGTGCATTGTCATTAATGTCCTTCACGTTAATTTCCAGCTGGATCTTCTTGAAGAAGGAGCCAAGATTTGATTGAGCAACAGCTTCGAAGGAGAGTTTACAAGTGTTGAGGAAATTGCATAAAGTCTCTCTATCAAGTTCTCGAGCTGTTGTAAAGTCTCCAGATGTGCTGTCGATGGAGAAGTTCGAGGTGTGTGGATTGCCTTGGGTCAAGAAGCTGTATCGGAGTCGATGAAACTCCTCCTCACTAACGTAGTCTCGGAGGTTTGCGTCGTCGGCGATGTTCCCCAGGAAACTTCCAGCTGGTTGTTGTTCATCTATGGTGTAAGTGAGGGTAATGCAGAGTGTAAGTTGAAAGCTGGTCAACAGAAGAACTCCTCGGATGATAGTGTTCGACATCTTGGATGGATGGTCAGAACTTGCAGTGTTGTTAACGTTATAGCTTCATGTACAGGGATCTTTCAAAGTGAATTCTGAAAAAAAAGAAGAAAGAAATATTAACAATATGTCAACTGACATCTTCACCATCAAAATAAAACAACATTCACATAAACATAAGCAATAAAGACCCTCTCCATAAACATATTAAATCATATGGTTATGTCCATATTGTAATCATGACCTTTTTCATTTAAAATAAAAATAATAATGTTTATGATTTAGAAAAAGGTATATTTTTTAAACAGAATTAACACTGGCACATCCAACCACTGTGTGTTAAGCACAGCATAATATCAACAGATAGATGGAGAGTGTTGTACATTAGAGATGGTAAGAGAAGAACGTCTGAAGTGTTCTATTCACCCAATCTAGCAAGGAACATGAGCACAAGGAGAACAGCTGCATAATGTCAGTGTAAAGGGATGGACCATATATATACCCACAGAGTTTTTACAAAAACTTTTAAATCCTGCAGTTGATTTAAATCCCTAACCTTTGAAGTTAATAAGAAATACATACACAAGATCTATAAGCCTAAAGATCTAAGCGAAAACATTAAGAAAGTAAAACACAAAATCAGACAAAGCCTATCATAATCAACTTGTGTCTACCTATGTTAAAACAGTGTTATTTCCATAGCTCTATGATCATAACCGGGTGACTGACTGGCTGACCAGCTGGCTGACCGACTAACTAGATGGCTGGTGGATCAGCTACTGACCATCCCCAGGCTGTCTGGGAATACAAGTCTCACATGGCCTGCGAAATCTACACCTGTGCTGGGGATTAGTTACAGAGGATTAACGAGGATTAGGAGTTGACGATGGATTAAATCTGTAGGTACATAAGTAACACCCGAGGACCCATTGTTCCACTGCATTAAGCTGCCTGCATTATGTGTAAGGTACAATGATTGGGTGGAATGATGTTAAGTGATCGCCCAATGAGTCTTCCCACGAAGCAGATGTTGGGATGTGATTCTAAGCTACTTGTGGCAACTTTAGGATCTTAACACTTGCTTGAAACAAGTGGTTGATTGACTTCACAAGGTATCACTGAATGACTACACATTTTGAAGCTGTTTAAGAAATCTAAAATATACATAACATTAACAGAATGAGATACACATTCAGTTTCCAACTATTATCAACTGATAGTTCTATGGACATTTTGAAGCTGTTTAAGAAATCTAAAATATACATAACATTAACAGAATGAGATACACATTCAGTTTCCAACTATTATCAACTGATAGTTCTATGGACATTTTGAAGCTGTTTAAGAAATCTAAAATATACATAACATTAACAGAATGAGATACATTCAAACTATTATCAACTGATAGTTCTATGGACATTTTGAAGCTGTTTAAGAAATCTAAAATATACATAACATTAACAGAATGAGATACACATTCAGTTTCCAACTATTATCAACTGATAGTTCTATGGACATTTTGAAGCTGTTTAAGAAATCTAAAATATACATAACATTAACAGAATGAGATACACATTCAGTTTCCAACTATTATCAACTGATAGTTCTATGGATATACAACTTCTTTATAACAATATAAGTGATATTTTGGTGTAAAAGCTAAGACTGTTATCAAGCTCGGATCCAGCGATATACATAAGTAAGAGTACTGAACAAATGACATTAATTTGAAGTAATAAGTTAACAGACATCTACTATCAAACTGCTTTTACTTTATATTAAAGTTTCACACTCAAAATTCCCTGATTTACATAACTGTCAACATTTTAAAATATCAAGTTTAAAGTAAAAACATGTTTTCTTGAAAAATATTAATCACAAAGTCAGTGAAAGTTATATTTTATAAACTCAATCTAAAGTGAAAAACATGCTTACCTCTTATAACAAAATGGAAACATGCACCATATATTCCTATAATCAATGAAATCCACACACTTCAATATCAGTGTAATCCAGTATATCCTCACAAGAAAGTATCTCCACACTGTTGTCTATATCAAACACCTTCCTCATGTCTCAGCTCTCTACAAGCATGTCCCCACTCCCTGACACCAGGAGTAATACTGACAGGCTTGACCTCTTCCCGTTTCACCCAGCTCTCTGACTAGGATATCACATGTTAATTGCTGCCTCTGTCATGCCTGCCTTTCAGTAGCATTTGATTGACAGCTAAGAATCACCCTGCTATTGGCAAGTGGCTGCACAGTGCTAAGCTAACCTGCAATTAGTCTTGCATCACAGTTGCGTGACCCCTGACCTCCCACTGAGAATGCCTGGGCCTATCAGAGCTGACCACTATCAATAGCCTGAGTGGACATTAAGTGACCATTAGGTAACCAATCACCTGGGATCATTAACTTGTTTGTGTGCCTTCAGCCAATCACTGGACAGAGGCCTTTCAGGGTGGGACAAGCTTATGGCCAGTAGGCACCTGTCATATATTCTTTTAAATTTTCTTTTAAATTCCTTTTATCAAAACGTTAACATAAAAAACTTTATATATAAAACCTTTTATCAAAAGGGTATTTTTCAAAAATACTTCATACTTGACAAGAATTCAATACAACATTATTCTTTATGTATACGTAGAGATAAAAACATTTTTCTCTTTTTTTCAGCTTCCTATCACCATTATGCACTACTCAGTAGAAGTTAAAAGCCCCTGATTCTTTCATATGACTATAATTCAGATGAACAAAAGAAACATGATACTTATATTCTGTTCTGTTACATCTTTGTAGGCAATTGTTCCCCTTTGAATGTTAATTCACTGAAGAGTGAAAAGAAGAGAATCATATGAAAAACCAAACGGATACAAAATACTGATATTAAATAACAATTTCACAACATGTATTAAAATCTAAAAGCATAATTCCAAAACACAGACAAAATGTACAGTAATCACTGTAATTATTATTTGAATAATCAAATAATTGTTTAAAGTAAACTGAAAGAGTAGTTTTGGATATCTCTGTAATGAATGCTAGTTCAGAAATACATCCTCCATGGCCATCTTTTATGAGCAATTCCCCACCCCTGTATCTTTCAAAATCTTCCATTTCCCCCTCCCTCTCTCCCCCTTCTTTCCAATGGCCTCATTTACCTATACAACCTCTGTTAATGTAACATTGTTGACCAATCTCGATCACCAAGAAAACCATTAAAAGACAGTTACAGATCAACTATACACTACCCCAGCCTTGTACTAGCACCCCACAATTGGCCTACCTTCACCCCCACCAGCCTACCCTGTACTTAGAAACAGCAATAAACCCCCACAATGGCCTGTCACAATAAACTCTGACACATTCCATTTCATAACATCATGTACATTTCGTGTAAGTGAAAAGAGCCCTGATATTTACAAGCCATTAGAACTAAGTTTGATTTGTGCTAATTACATAGAACAAATTTGATCACATCCATGATCGCACATTCTGTTTCTTATATTGTGTTAAATAGTTCAATTGTATATCTTACCTAATGAGGTTAAATTTGCGTTCATGACATTTTTATTAACTAGGAAATGTTCCATCCATGTAATACAATGTACACAATAGTATCAGGGTCTTATCATTTCTTGATTAAAGTAATTAAAGTTAACCAGTTTTCCCAAAGCATAGAAGATGTTACACAAAATCTTCTAACTTTGCCATTCCAAACTAATCTTGTGTCAGATAATTATCTACATGAGTTGTTCCATATTTGTTTCTTTCATGATATGATTACAAAAAACATAATTTAGTATGTAATGTTGACATTAAAAGTCTCATAAATATTCCAATACAAGTTAGTTTCAAGATAAACAAGAAGATTTACAATAGTAAAATCAATGCAAAGATTTGATTCAAAATGTCACTATTAAACATGATCATTTCAAACAGTTGCATGAAATGTCACATACATTTCATCGACACTGTGATCCATTGCAGTTTGAAATGTACATGGCATGTGATACAGGTGTGTAATACATGCTGTGATATGTGATATATTTCATGTCAGGTGCAGCAAATGTGGTGTGCTGGGCCTGTCCAGCCCTGCCACAGTGTTGAATCACTGTGTGCAACCATAAGGAGTTTTTAATCACCTCACTGGCATGATGAAATGAACAGTGTCATTGTCTTAAGTGGGATGTATTTCACTGTTGATAACATTCGTATCACCACATGGCGGCTATGACCACTGATTTATCATGTCAGGGTTAATTAGGACAACTCCAAGGATGGGATAAAGTTAGTATTAATTTAATCTGAATGAATTATTTAGGCTTGCCATCCTATTGATTTTCATTTATCTTGATTCTTAATTAGATTTATTCTCAAATAAATCATACATGTGCTTTAAAGGAAATGTGTTTTTGTTTAAAATATATTCCACCAAAAGAAGCCATTTTGCACTCTACTGACAGAACTTTTTATATTATTGTTCAAAACATATTTTCATAGAATGAGGACTAGGCCATTAAAGATAATATTTACATTCCACAAATAAAAGTATTTACTTTAACAACATATGGCAAGATACAAGGCACAACATATGTTTAAGAGCACGACCATTTATCACTATTTCAGCTGAGAACAACATCAGCAAAATTCCCACATCCCTTCTCACAGAATGCAACCCATTCAAATCAATTTCATGGACTTGACTGTGGGTGTCACGTACATTTCATGGATACCAGGGGATTACCCATATCCCAACCATATGCCAGACTTCACTGACTCCTAATCCCCATGAAAATTAATTATCATCTAACTGAGTCAACATTACTTAAACATGTTTATCATAATCCATCATAATGGAACACTGAGACCTGAAAAGTCAGCCTTATCTTTACCTTGCTACTAACAAGACTGCTATCAACATGTTAATCTAAGTGTCAATTTCATTTATATCGGCATCCTGTAATTTTTATCTAATCATGTTGCAGTGTTATAAGATTACTTGACTCTTATCCATGGTGTTTTGTTTGGTGTAAGATTCTGGCAGTGCTATCAGTCGTGTCTTGGACCCTGTGAAGATGGCATTAGCTGGTCTGTCTGCAATATACATGATTATATTGCATAAACAGCCTATGATTGGAGGGAGAAATCTGAAATATAGTTGTGTCAATTTCAGTGTGTTTTTCAAGATAATAATAACATAAAATTGAAAATCATACCACAATGAAAGTGTTATTCATTATCTCTTTACATGTAAATTGTACACTGCCATTAGAAATAATCCATACTTTTATGTAAATGGTCACAGCCTCCAAACTGTGTTATACGGAACATCGCCAACTACCAATAGTGAAAATAAGCATATTGTAGAGTCCCTCCACAAATTCATTTTCAAGACTAAACGATTTGATAAAACAGTCTAAACCAAACAATAAATAACAATTACCATAACAAAATAATGAAACATAACTGCAAGCGGGTTGTTAATTAGAATTCTCAATGCCCATACCATGTTACGATTTTATTTTATTTCATTTGTCTATTTCATTCCGTCTCTTTTGTCTAGTTCCTGTGTGTTCTATTTGTGTTATATTTGTACTGGTGAGGTATTCACCAAAGCAAAGCTTTGTTTGTTTACCAAACCACATTCTTTCATGAATAAAAATATGTTTAAACCATAATAATATAAAGGCATTTCTTAATACCAAAACATTTCTTTTTGTCTCTTAACACGGTGAAGAATAAATAATCTGTTACCATAAATAATTTGTTAACCATTATATTTTCCATTACAATGTTCTCATGTGCAATGGATCATCTAAGAATTCTTTTTAAATTATTTATTCACAAGAATTTCAATTCTTGTACAGTAATGATTCTATAATAACTTCATCAGATACATTAGCCTTTTAAAGGAAAGAATCATTTATGGGAGGAATTTACTAATGACTACATACTTGTATGTCAGTTACACTATGTCCTTATACAGGAGATTACTTGAAAAAGTCATAGAGCACTTCAGCTGTTTTCAAACCTCTTTGAGTCAGGTAACACGTCAATTTCAGGTAGCTGAGAAACACACCTTTAGTCGTAGGCATCAGGATTACACGTTAATTCAGGTTATTGACAACTCTCAGCACCAACAGGGGTTAATGCCGTGTGACAAGACGCTTATATCCTCCTCAAGCTTAAACAACCAACCCAAAAGAGACAAGCACTTTGCACGACATATCTGAAATCAACATTCTTCAAAATGAAATTGACAAGTTACTGCTGTTGCTAAGATAGATAACCCTGCATGAGAATGCTGTATGTTTATATAAGGGACATGGAAAGTGGAAGTCATGAACTACTTAAGTTTACTGTGGTATTTTACTTGAAACTGTTAAAGCACTGAAACTTTTTGTACGCCTGTAACGAAATCAATATGTCATCCAAAGCAAGTGGGATCTCATGACATCAGTTAAAACATTGACGTTAGTAATAAACAATAGTGTATGTCGAATGAATAGCGCTATCGACATGCATTTACATAATAGGCTCTGGTGAAGATGACTTTTTACCTCTCATGTGTTGCTAACAATGACAGATCAATTGTTTGGGATTCTTTAGGAATATTGATTGACACTGTCTGGAAGATTTTGATGTGGGATGTAACGTATGATTAAGTACGTTATCAACTAATTGATATTTCACATTCAGTTCTAGACAACAGTTAATCAATGATAGCCGAGTTCAATACGCAACGTCAACCTCTTTCATGTTATGTGCGACAGCGCAAACTGATCATATTCAGTAATACATCATCACTTGAGACAACCTAACCATATTCTTTGAAAATTGTATTGACAAATTAAAAGTGAAGTTTCTCTTGCATCAATATTTTATCCCATGTTCTGTAACCCTTTATATTCTGTGTATAATTTCATTGGGAATTGTTTATTCATGTGAATTTGACTGAAATGTACAACACATGTGATAAATCACTAATCAAACAGACAACCATTTTACCATAAAGGCCAACTGGAAATATTTAGAAATATAATGTTAAAGGTGAAAAGAAAAGCAAAATAAACATTGATTTTTGTCTTTCTTTGAGATAGGCTTTGAACTAGACATGTATTTGGTCTCTGGATAAAATATTTGCATATCCTTACATTGTTTAATTTAAGTACTATTTTCACAAGTGCCCACTGTCTATTCAAACAGATAGGTAGAGACTACTACTAATGCAAATCTACAATGTAAATATATCTGTTCATGCCTTTGAAATCAGTCAGTCCCCAATCAATCAGGCTTTGTCTCTGAAATCATCTAACAAGTCCCTTCTGTGTAAAACACAGCCTCAAAGGTAACAGCTTTGTCATCCCTTTGATCTTCTTAAATAGCCAATCAAGACAAGTGGGGTCGTTCAAGGTAAGTAATTCATACTCATTTGATCAGGGAACATGTTTTCACTACAGATTACAGAATCAATTGCTTTTTATTGTCCATGTTAAGGAACCATGATCTTAGTATGGGGCCCTGAACATGGCGGGTGTAAGTAGAAGAGTGTTAAAAACAGGTATGAAAATCTTTGTAGATTTGCAGGTAGAAACAATGCAAAGGTAGAAAATCTGTTGACGCATGAGAGGGGTGCCTTCACCCCCAGGGGTAAATGTCTGGAACATTTAACTTGGACAAAAAGATTATAAAGATTTCATTGAGATGTTACTTTTATAGACTCCATGATTCAGTGGGAACGTTAATATTCGTGAAATCCCATGCTGAGCTTCACGTAGAAAAGAGAACTGATTAAAGCAGTGTTTGTATATTGTATTAAGAGACTTAAACTACTACTAAAAAAACAACAAAAACACCCCACACTTTCATTTCAGCCATAAAGGAAGCAGAATGACTTGTATACAATTTAAATGTAATGGATTTGATGATTTGCAGACCCTAACGTCATAAACATCCAACATATATCTGAAGGATCTTTATCATATTTAGGTAAATCTAATATCTGGGAAGTTTTCCATATCAATTGTCAAATAGAACTGACGTAAATTAATAGCTTCTGTATATTACAGATGCAAATATAGGAAACAATTCAATTAAATCCATCCTGGGTTGTTGAAAAAATATGCCTGCCATTGTGAATTTGTCTGATTCATTTTGCAGGCTTCTGTTTCAATAAAACTACAACCATCTCATTGCTAACTGTATCAGACAAATGGAATATCATATCACAATACTCTCTAAATGTGATCGACGAAAAGAAAAATCTCCTAAATTAAATTAACCAAAAAACATCACACTGCATTAAGAAGCAAACATGCATGAAATATTGGCTGAAATCAGATTACCTGAAAGCAGAATGATAAGAGGAAGTCCTACCTTCATATTTCAAACAGCTTACAGATCCTGATCCACACGTTTGTCAAACCCTGACTACCCTTCCCATGCAATGACTGTTAAACCTACCCTGCACAGCTTTATATGCAAAATCTATCTTACCTTAGCAGTTACTGTCGATGAAGAGTAATACTCCAGGTAACTTTTACTCGTTAAGGCAGGTGTCAGCATTTGATGCTGTCGTGATGAAGTCAGCTCTGCTTGGACACTGGCCACTCAGTGGTCAGACATTGCTCACCAAGGCCTGGAAGACAAGAAAACAGAATAAATAAAAATACTACTCCTTGCCCAAGCCTGTCAAGGGATGAAATTGATTACTATGTTTACGAAATTGATCTAATCTTGTCAATCATGTTTTAACATGTTTATTTCATTTGTTGAGTACAGATAAATTTGTATTTAATGGCAATTGGTGTTTAAGTATCAGATATTTGATTTTTTTAATCAAGGAAATTATGAAATTTAAATGCTTGTGACGTAAAAGAGTAGCATAACAATTATATTTTTACACATGTATTGAAGACATATCAACTTTTCACATTTTGTACAGTTTTACTTACATATGCTAAATACTTTTAGTAGCCTGAGTTTGCGTATTTAAAATGAAATTTGTGACAAAGTTGATAAAATTAAAAAGTTGCTTAATTGAAATTCAATACATAATGATTCAAAGTTTTAGTTTTTAAACTGACATGGAACGTAAATATGGATAAGCAGACCTACCATTAGATAGACTTGTTCACAATTTCAGTACACTTCTAACATAAGATTATCCTGAGCACAAGCTGATCCTTCAGTGACCACTCATCAAGTGATTGCTGGTCCAATTTATATGAGAAGACATTCTACAACGACAATGAACGTACATCCTTCCTAACACCTGTAGCATCAAAAACACTACCCAGGTATTAATCCATTGTCTTGTACTCAGATCAAACAACTTAATCCCTCCTCTTTTGACAAGATGACCGGAAGCCTCAGGCATCGATATCTTCACATGCAGCCCTGAGCAGAGTTTCACCTTCGGACACTGGTCAGCCGCTCGTCTCATTTTACATTTACCTGGGGTGAAGTTTGGGTTTGGGCCTATTGTTAAAACTCAGTGAGGCAATTAAAGTCTAGGGCAAAAAAAACAAGGGGGATGCTTCTGAGGGAGCAGTCATTGTATGTAAACATGTTCAGAATAATTACTCCCTTAATCCTCTTGATCCTGGTAATCTGACTTGTTTAATCAAGGGACAATGGTGGGGGTTGGAAACTGGGGGTGGGGATAATTGTGGGTGGGGTTGGACTTTGTAGAAGAGAGATGGGTGGAGTGTGGGTATTGATGAAGGAGAAATGGGTGGTGAGGGGTATTGATGGAAGAGAAATGGGTGGGGTGGGGGTTCAGAGGGTACCTGGACTAGGTGGGAATGTTTTTCAAAGAAAATGATGGAATGTGAAGACGTGGGGTTTGCAATGGAAGGATGCAGTTAGAGAGTTCTGGGGGTGAAGATGGGTGGGACAAGGTGAACATTAGCCTTTCCTATGGGTGAGGATAAGAAACCAGGGTATGGTTCTGAGGGTGGAGACATGGAGGTGGGCTGAGATATGGAGGGGTGAGGGTGAAATATGAAGGACTGATGGTCTGAGTGTGAGACATAAAGGGGTGAAGGTCTGTGGGGGGAGGGTCTGAGTGGTGAGATAGGAAGGGGTGAAGGATCTGACTGATCTGACGGTGAATAATGTGGGGTGGATGGTCTGAGGGTGAGATATTAAGGGGGAGGGGGGTCCTGAGTGTGGAGATATGAAGGGTTATGGGTCTGAGGTGGAGATATGAACATTGCATGGTCTGAGGGCTGAGGGTTTGAAGGTGAAATGTGAAGGGTGGGGGTTCTGAGGGTGGAGATATGAAGGGTGAAGGGTTTGAGGGTAAGATATCTCAGGGTAGTGGTCAGGGTGAGGTATGAAGGCTGGGGCCTCTGAGGGAGAGGGTCTGAGGGTGAGCTGTGAAGGGTGGGGGTTCTGAGGGTGGAGATATGAAGGGTAGAGAGTGGAGATATGAATGTGGGGTGAGGGTCTGAGGGTGGAGATATCAAAGGTGGAGATACAAAGTTGTATGTTGGGGTGTTAAGATTTTGTATGTGGAGTTGGGGATGAGGGGTCCTAGGGAAGATCAATGCACTTAACACTGAAATCTAACCCTGTCAGTGACGGCCACACAGGACATGCTTATGATGTGGGGAGACAGAAAGAGTTAGCTACACACATGGAAGATGTTGAGTAACAGAGGAAATGGGTGTAACACGGACAATATGAGAACTACACCTCGCAGATTACGATCATGTCTGTAAAACACAGACAAGTGACACAGATATGTGTTAGATAACACACATGGAACCATACAGAATATATTAACCTTTTCCTTTGAGAAACAAGCGTAACCGTCACAAAGTCGGAAGTCTGAAAGCAGCTCCAGACTCCAGATGATGGGAATATATACTCATGCCAATAATGGTTGTCATCCCCTCCCCACCCCAACCCCACACACCCCACCCTACACCCCTCTCCAATTAAAAATATTGAAGGGGGTGACAACTATTATTGGCATGAGTATATATTTAATATTGATTAAGAGGATGACTGAATCTAATGATGCACGCTTGATTTAGAAGTCAAACATACTGTATTACTTAATGCAATTAAAACTATAGATCAAAGTTTGCGAATCTAATTAGTTTTATTCTCACATAAAAGTCTCTTTTAATATAAATTATATATTTATAGGCTGCTCAAAAGCAATATCATCATCGCAATCAGCATCACAGAGAATCAATTGTTTTAATTTCAAAACCATCTTGCAAATTCGACAAAATATAAAATGCAAATTAGTATTTTCACAAAAATATATTTTCTGATTCTGTAAACCTGTGACCAAAGTGTGAGCATCTAATGTAAATATCCTCAGGTGTAGATTAATCCTGCACACCTGTATTAATTAATCCAGGTAAGTCCTTTGTAAAGAGATACATCCCCTTCCATTTATCTCTTTATGCCTTGTATCACTGAGCCCATCTGTCAACACAGTACAATAGCCAGGCAATTATAGCATCCTGGGTCGATACAATACATAGATATTGTCCTATGAATTATACATCCCATCTCTACATCACAATAATAAAACCCAATGCAGTTTTCTGAGATACAGGAACTAATTACTGGATTTCCTTTAGCTAGGAATGTTAGTATTTGTTCTGTTTTACAAAAGATAAATAAGCCCCATTTTGAATGTATACGAGATACCAGTTAGGATATCCCAAGTGACTGCAGGCACTTTTCATAATCATCTCATGTTGTAGTTTTCCGAGTCAGTGACTGCAACTGTGACTCTTTAGTGGTTAGGCAGATAACATCTTTATCTCAAGCTACATGTATTATGAAAAGATATGATCAAAGAGGGTTTGGGAAAAATTATGGATAATGATTGTATATGAAATAGTCATAGTGAGATGAAAGGAATTTATTTCTTGGAATTTCTGAAATGACTTTCTATTCAACGATTTTTTAGTGTAAGGAAACCATTATCTAATTCACTGAATCTATAAAGGGTAAGATGTACATTCCCCAGGGAGGTGAAAATGTGATATGAATGCATTCTGATCTGTTGACTTGTAATAGTATATATATCATGGTCTACGAACATCCTTTTGTGTGTCTTCATCAACATTATAAGTGTTATTGGTACTGATGAGGTTTTGATCTTAGGACATCATCATCATCATCATCATCATCATCATCATCATCATCATCATACTGTATAACCCACAGAAATTATTTGTGCATATGAAAGTGTTAACCAGGGGCGTTGCTACCATTATTAAAAAAAAGCCCAGGCTTACACATGATTTTTGCTAAAGATCGCCATGAAAGTTGGGCAAGCTCTCAATACTATCTGAATAAAAAGCTTTGCAAAATATCGGCTTACACATAAAAATTGGCTTGCTATGCACCCGTTAACAGATTGAGGATTCAAAATGACATGTCAAACAAAGAGATTACAGTACAGAACTTTCCAATCATCTGAGAGGAGGAGATTGGAGAAAAGAGCTCTTCAACCCCATATTGCTGGTCAGACAGTGCCTACAGTTTGTTTAAAATATTTACTCACATCACCACCATCCCTTTCATCATCAATTTAACTGTTTCTTAATTTTTTTAATTGTTTTATTGGTAAAACTTCATTAGAAATGTAAAAGGAAAGTCAAAACCTATTCTGTGTATGTTTGTATCTATCATGCAGTAGGTACCTCTATATCATACATCCAGTTAACTGACAAATGAATACGACGTGGATGTGCAGGTCCCTGTTCAGTCACATCAACAAAACATCCAATTTGTCAACATGCAAACTCTGTTTATCAATACAAACCTCAAACAGCCAAGTGTTAAAGAAAACGTCCAATCTTGCACATTAAAAAAACCAGTTGTCACTAACTCCATAAACTAGGGATAATACTGTGTTAAACTTTTATGCCACAGCGATCCTTCTTGTGTTACACCTGACCTCGAGATCAATTTCTCACGACACTTTTCAAGTCTTGCTATCCCAGGACTAATGCTATACACATCTTCATGAACTATGACAAATAGCACACATATCTTCAAATGAAATAGACATGTTTTGAGACATGACAATGTCGGATGATGCCTAATGGGTCATTAAACGTTAATTTCATTCTGCATGGCCGACTCCGTGGGACATGCTGTGTATATGGGATACCTACAATAATGTGCATAGTCGACCTCCGTTACTGACAACCTCCAGTGTTTCATTATCATCATGTTGATACAGATATGTTTTAATGACACTTTGGGTTCTAAGACTCTTACAAAAATGTGTCCAGCATCTCTGATCTTTCACAGCCAAAAAGATATATCGCCATACTTCACTGATGACTCAGTAAACTGCTGACTTAGCACATTAAGTACATGGTTGTTGTGATACTCATCTACATGCTTTTTCGTTGACAAAACTACATTCTTTAAGTACACTTAGTTTAATGATCCAAGGCGAGATCAACAACTAACTCTAAAAGTTGCCTCCCTTATCTATGCCAGGATTCATTATTAAATGACAATTCCCATTTCATCGTGAGTATCCTCAATGTCAGCATCATACTGATGCTGGTGTTGTAGGTAGTGGTATATGTCTACATACTGCATAAAGGTTTTCATCCCTGTGACTGACACACAAGCTATATGACT